TCCTGGGAGAACAAAAATTAGAATTGCACTCCTTCATTTAAAATAGTAACTCAAATCTAGCATTTAGGAGCACATATTCCTTTTCAGAATATTTTTAATTTAGAAGATACTTCTAATTTGACTACTATTCATGTTTAATGTTTGTTTTTAGCAACAACAAGACCACATCAACCAAGTCTGCAAAAGTTTAGAGCTCTTAAAAGTGTTATAGCCTCTTCAAGTTCCAAAGTACATATATTGGACAATGACCTTGAAAGCCAAGATCATGGCAAAGGATAGAGTGACATATAATCCAACATGCTATAGAATTTATAGCAAAATTTGCTTATACTTTTTGTGGGGATATTGATGTTGATGGTGATAGAGGTGATACAAGTTGTGGCATTAGAAGCCACAATGATCACATGCCTCAATATGACAATAAGAAAGGTAATTTTCTGAATTGTTCTTTGAAGTTCCTAGGAATTGCATAAGATAAATTTGATAGTTGAAACTTATAAGTATGTTATTTACCCTTGTGTCTTGATTCTTTATTTTTTTAATTTACAAGATAAAAGTTTCTGGATGTAGGAAGTAGAAAAAGTGGGATAATTCTAATTATAAAGTTTTTTTGTTAAGGACATTAAAATTTTTTATTACTTCTTTTCCTTTTATTTTCTTTTGTAGTTGTGGATTCATTGATCCAAGAGTAATTGACATTGCTAGTGATGAGAGTGTAAAGACTAATATAAAAATCATTTAAAAAATGTATCAAGTATATAAAAAGTAATGGCCTCATTAATAAGGATAATACTCCACTTGAAGGTTAGAATTATTTTTATATTTCATGGTTCTTAAATTGCAAATGTATAATATGAGAAATTATAGAAATCAAAGATTCACTCTAGCAAATAAAATAATTTAAATTGTAGTAAAAAATTTCTAAAACATAATTATTTAGGTTTGGCTGCATCAATCATAATAAACTGTATATAATACTAAATTACATAAGAAAACCAAGTGTTGCAACAATAAAAAGCATAAAAATTTATTTTTATATATATTATATATTTCCTTCTAGTGTTACCATTTAAATTGAGTAAGTAGTAAAAGTTATAAATCAAAATTTGTGAAAGACAATGTGAATAATAATAAATATTATGAGCATTTGATTAAGTTCATGTAACTTTAGAAGGGTAAATAAGAGCTTTACAAATTATATAGATAAAAAAGAGTGAATAAAAATTTAGTGTGAATCATAAATTAACCATACACAATTAAAGCAAGTGTAACATATAAAAAATTGATAAGAACCCAAATTAATTATATATATTCTTCTTGAAATTATATGTAATTTTTTCTTTGCAATGATGACTATAATTTCTATGTTAGCTAAATTAATTGGCAGGGTACAAAGAACATTATCCAACACATAACTAAAATAATCATATAAGTAACTTATTTAGATCCTTCTATTATGCTTTTTAAGGCTATGTAAATAGTATATGAATAAAACAATAAGGAAGTAAAAATGCAGAAACTAAAGTGAAATTTCAAAATAATATATTGAACTATGCAATAATACTTGATTTTCTTTGTTTTTTATATGTGTTTTTTATGTAACTAAAAACATTTTTGTGGTCTATCCAATATAC